TGACATTAGGGGTCTTAGACACCACTGATGTCTCCATAAAGAGGACCTATCTGTGTAAATTGGCTATCACGCAGGGGGCTTCTTAGCTCCCTATGTGATGGCAATAAAGTTAAGTGAAAAAGAAGTTTAAAAAAATTAATTACAAAAAAAAATTAAAGTCACATATCATTTTTTTTTTTTAAACACAAAAAAAGTTTAAACTCCCCCGCCCCCCACATGCACACACAAACATACATCAGGTGCACCTATATGAGAGAATGAGGATTGCACCCATTGCACCACGCATGTTACATATCACCACAAATGTTAGAGCAAGGGCAATAATTCTAGGGACATCAATCACTGATAACACTAAACTGATGAGCGGTAAAAGCTTTTAAAGCATGGCCAATTTTGGGTTGTTTTTTGTTTTTTTGTTATTTCACGGGCGCATGCAATTTTAAAGCTTGACATGTTTGGTGTCTATTTACCTGACATGACCCCCATATTTTGTATTTTACTGAAAATTTGGGTAAGAATAAATGTTTTAAAACATAATTCATCCCCACACAGCTACCTCCTCATGTATCACTTACCGCTCCCTTTTAGATTGTAAGCCCTCATGGGCAGGGCCCTCATTACCATCTTGTCTTGAATTGTATTGTGATTGTAATGTCTTCCTTATATTGTAAAGCGCTGCGCAAACCGTTGGCGCTATATAAATCCTGTATAGTAATAATAATATAGGGAAAACAGTTTTTTCTAAATTTTTGGTACTTTTTTCATTATATAGTAAAAAATAAAAACTCCAGTGATGATTAAATACCACCAAAAGAAATCTTTATCTGTCCCCAAAAAATTGTATAAAATTCATTTCCGTACAGCATGATTGAATAAATGTCAGTCAAAGTATTGCAGTGTTAAAATACTAAAAAATGGCCTGGCCAGGAAGGAGGTGTAAACATTCCTGTCTTCAAGTGATTAAATATCTGGCTGCAACAAACCTAACCCCATTCTGGGCCATATTGATGTGTGTGGCCACGTATAGCTATATGAAATAATAGTATTATTTATACAACCAAAATCTGAAACTTCCAAAAGGTGTTACTATGTAATAATTAAACAATATGCTACCTAATTATTATAGTCCACAGTCAGAAATACCAGTAATATAGTCCACACTCTAAATCTTTGGCTTGATACATTCCTATATATAGTAAAGTTAAACCATACCTACCATATATATTACTATTGCATGATTGCAAAACTGGTATTATTAATTTAATAACACCAGTTTTGCAATCATGTAATAGTAATATATAGGGTAGGTCTTGTTTAACTTTAAACTACAATACTGTGTTTCTATATAAATACAACTCATAGATTTTGGAAAGTAGAGATAAGTCTTATTGGAAAAAAATGCCTTGCATCATTCTAAAAGGATTATTCAGTAAGCCAAAAAAAAAATGGAATAGCCCAATGCAACTAATCAAAAATGATCGACTAATCATGTGACTTTGGGAAATCTAATTATTTGCTATGGGTTACCGCACTGTGCACTTCAGTTTTGCTCTTTGCACTGCCTTATTGAATGTAGTGTATAAATGTTTATTTCCAGCTTGATAGAGTTGATAAAAAAGAGCTAGATAACAATTATCATTTAGTCAATAGTAATTTAGTGCTGTGAGAAGATCTCCTAGTCTGGAATGTGAAGGGGATTTTACAGCCATAATTAGGATTTTTTCCACTTTAAGCAGAAGATTATCTGGAGATTACAATTTATGTTCAGTGCAGAGTCAAATTTATAATGAAACCCAATTTCTTCCGCCAGTGTATTGACTTTGCTCTGACACAGCTTCTGTGTTCCAGCTAATCTATGGCATAAAGAATGTCAATGAATCCAAATTATATATTTTTTAGTCCCTGCCTGGGTGCATTGCAGAACAAGCTAGACTGCTATGAAAAAGGACAAACCAATTCTGATTTTTTTTCAATGTCACTTTTATTATAGGTGAGATTTGCTTTATGCTGTCTACATGCTACTAAGTTTATACTAGTAATATGACTACTTTGAGCATATTTGTCATTAAAAATACACTCTAGTTAAAAAAAAACATAAATTATTGGAACACAGCCTACCTGCACATGACATGTTTTCATCCAAGCCTAGCTGTAGTGCATCAGTCCATCCACCTCCTGTTGTCCAGTACCCTGGTGATCTGACAACTGATTTTATTTTTTGTAATGCATGATACGTAGTCCTAATACACACCAGCTGTAGGCTGCTTGCTCTCTCTGACCTAGAGAAAGACTGATATATCTAAGTGCCATAACGATGTTCAGCAGAATTGCTTGAACACCACACAGATTCAAACCTGCCTTGGAATTGGACTCTAACTGGCATCAAGAAGCAGGAGATGAAGTTAAACAGCACAGAAGAGCTATGTAAATTTTGTTTGCAATGTATTACTTAGAGCTCAAAGTGGAATTTATGATTTTAACATAGTTGCAACATTTGCTGGATAATGTTACCAGTAGCATATAGGTAAAAATCTAGTCACTGAGATGCATCACTATGTAGGAAAATCAGCTCACTTAGGTTATTTTATTTATTAGTGACACTACTGAGTTGACTGTGAAGGTTCTCATTCATCGAGGTCATGGTATATCTGTATAAAATAAGTCAAGGCAACGGGACTTGCTGTATTTTTCTTGAAGACGTTTCACTGGTCATCCAACCAGCTTTCTTGAAAAAGCTGGTTGGATGACCAGTCAAACGTCTTCAAGAAAAATACAGCAAGTCCCGTTGCCTTGACTTATTTTTTTACAAATATACTATTGGGTTGAGTTCCTCATAGGTTTCTTATCCTGATATCTTCGAAGATATACCCACCCCCTGCCATGTAACTTCTATTGTTCCATGTAATGTAACATACATGAAAGAGTGAGCAAGGAAGACACCTTGATAGTGGCCATAGCAGGTAGATGGAGATGTGATTTTAGGCATAGAGCTTTACCTCCCAGACTCCCCAGGAAATAGAGGAACAGTATTGGGTGATGCAATCTTTTGGACTAATCTTTAAAAAACATTTACAGTTACTGAAAAGAGGAAAACCCTTTTGCTGTGTATAACATTAGAGCACTGTTACACTGAAAAGTCACAGTGAGTTTAAAGCGGATATCCAGGATAAGCAAATCTATAAATGAGAGACATGTGTATCCTTTCTTGACTCGGTGTGCATTGTGTATTTCCTACATATCTGTGCAGCAATCCAGTGTGAAACATTGCCTCTGTGCAGGAGCTTATTGATGTGCAAGGTGACAGGTCTCGTCTCCGCCCCCTCCTGTAGTTTTCTGCACGGAGACTGTAGTGGGTGGAGCCTGCTGGGCCCATGCCACAGCTCTGCTTAGACTATATACAGCACAGTGATGACATCACTGCTACTTTTACAAGATTATAACCAGGTTTGCAAAGGCATTTGGTGCATGCAAAGTCGATTTATACCCTTTGTGGTTATTTAATTGAAGGTTTTTGTGCCTAAGGTTCAGCTTTAAATACTAGGTGATTGTTACAGCAACAAGTAAGTATCTTGCCTTACAGTATAACCAGTTAGCTATTTGCTTGTGTGTGCACAATGTAGTCTGTGTGGCTGCAAATTCTATTTATGACAAACTACATTTTTTCCTCTTAGGCATATTAAAGTAAAATGGTAGTTTTGTTTTGCTTTCTGCATATATTTCAAGTAAAGGATCCTTAAACAGCAAGCGAAATCCACTGTGCTGAAATATTTCTGCAGCTCTCATTATTGCTCAGTTTATAATCGATATCATTTTTAAAGCAATACTTGCATACCCGATTGCTACAAACACATTCACAGTTCTGTGTTTGCATGGGGCAAACATGAGTTAGCAGAGCTGCACTAAGATTTCCACCCTTTATAGCACCACCTCCATAGCAGGAGTGCTGATTTAATAAAGAGGTATTTTTATACTAGCCCAGAAAACCTGTGTTAACATCTAACATGTATTCAATCAGGTTCAGTAGAAACTTCTGTTACTTAAATACCTCTGAAATGACTGGGTGGTTAAAAAGAACAAAGGTTTGCCAGGAGCATAAAAATAACCCCATTAATCATGTACCCCCAAGGCACATTTTTCTATCTCTGTGTGCTAATAGTCATTTATTTAGTTTGTAAAGTTTGTTCTGACCAATTCAAAACTTTTTGATCAACAGAAATATTGAAACACAAGCAGAAAAAAAAAAAGATCACAGCATATCCAGCAGTTTTATCAGCAATAAAGCATAATATGAAAGTCATAAATCATGAACCACTATATATCCATGGCTGACCAATTCATAAATCAATATCGCTCTGGGCAATAGACAATGCTAAATTGTACAGTGGCATCAACAGATGTACACTTAACCTATGCTGAAAACAAAATCCAATACCAAGAATCTCGGAGCCCTCATTAAAACACACAAAGGACTAACAGCTTTTTACAATCTATATGACATCTTGAACGCTGCATAAAAGGTCAGCAATACATTTCATGAAATCACAAACAGGATAAGAGTTTTGAGACAATATCTGATAGAGAGCAAATTACTTTTGGGAATGGTGCCAGAGTCAGCCTATTTCTTAATTAATTTCTTTCCCCCTGAACTCCATCTGCTTGACTGTCACATCCTGCAGGAGGTCAATACTGATTCATTCTTTAAACGATGTCCCCGTAAATATACATCTTGGTAGCAGCTAAAACAAGCTCCGACAATTATCTAAAGTAACAACCTTCAACATGCATGATCTGGACCACTGATAAATTGCAGGAAGAGTATCATAGCAGTGGTCATTTGCTAGCAAAACCCTTAGCTCATTCATATGCAGCTCCGAAAGTCTAGCCTGCTGTTAAATGCCCCTATTTGAAGTTAGGCTAAAGAGCTTACACTTGACAATGGGTGAGTGCCCAAGCCCTTTCCTTCCAGTAAGTGGCTGGCTGATAAGACTGACCTACGGTACCTGCTTTCATGTAGATGGATGAGACACCTTGCTTAGGTCCAGGGTGCTGAAAGCTGCCTTATCTCCGCAGCATCCTTTAATTCCGCGATCCCCTACCATCCATCTGCAGGCTGTTTAATATTCTGTAAAATGTTTAGGAGATCAGAGGCTGATGTAGCATTAAGACTGGAAATGCACCTTCTGTTTTCAAGGTTTTCTTGCAAGTAAAGCACCTATCCAGCTCCAAATGTCTTTCACACACGTGCAGTTCAAAGGACATCCAAGAAGCACAGCACTTAGAGCAGTAATCTCATTATTGTTCTGTTCAACCTTCTAGTTGTTTGTGCTTCTTGTCTCCTGGGTAGAACTATTACATCGGAGCATCCACCTGCAGCAATGCACACTGTAATCCCAGCTTTGACAGCACTGCCTCCCTAAGTGTCTCTGCTGATACAAGGTGTGATGAGTCTTGGCACAATGTCCATGCAATGATCCCAGCGACAGCTGCAAGTTGCCTTAGCACTTACTCAAAAGTGCAGGCATGATCAAATCCATTGGTGTATTTCTAGTTCCCTAGCTTTCCCTGAAAGAATGTCAGAAAGACTTTCAACTGCTGTGCCCCTCATGAACAATTGTGGGTGGAACAGCATGTCTAGGAGTTGGCTCAATGCTGCATACCGATCCAACACATACAGATGAGGTGGGGGGAGGTGGGTCAGCTTAAAAAAAAAAAACGAATACAAAAATGGCATCTGACTTAATCACTTGGCAGCACATTATGGATTCATTGAGCTCCAACAAATGAACTAGCAGAAACTGAGAAATCTACCAGCACAGCAATTATGGGTGAGAAAATGATTTCTAAATGCTAGTACTCTTCTGTTATGAACTGTGGAGAAGTGGGTGGATGTGGCTGTTTTCAAAGTAATTGAGTAATGCAAAATCTTTGTCTAGCCATCATTTTCACATTATGTTGCTGCACACTTCAACAAACCAGAATTTTCATCTGCAATTTATTAAACAGGCATGCAAAAAAAGAATGGGTGGAATGATACTGCTTCAATTATCATGTACAATGTCTCCCTCCAGTGGATAGGCTTGAAATGCAACATTTCACTTTTAATGTTCATATAGAATTGTTGCTTTTTTCACATTTGAATAACCCTTTACTATAAGTCACACAAGCGCTACTGCAAGTGGTTGCTGTAATTGGACTGATTCAATGCATTAACTCCAATAAGTGGGCGAGAATTGCCATATCTGGTGTTTGTGAATGCACAGATTCTCCAAAGATCACTTGCAGGGTTATTCATAAAGCTGCCGAAGGCAGCCGTATGAATAACCGACTGCGTGAATAACCGACCCGAAGTGAAGTGAGCCGAACGCTGTTCGGCTATTCACTTCAGGCTTGTACATACATCGGCTTGCTTTGGCTGGCTACGGGTCAGCCGAACATGCACGGCATGTTCGGCCGACCCGAAGTGCTGAAGGAGTTTGACTCAGCCGATCCAACATCTGGATCAGCTGCGCCGAACCTTCGGCAGGCTACTCACTGCTGTTCGGCCTATTCTCATAGGGGGCGAACGGCAGCGAGTGAATAGCCGAATGCCCCCGAGCAGTACCAAGCAGAATAGCCAAACAGTGAAAAAAGTAGGAAAAATAATCAAAAAGTAGGATTTTTTTTTTACAAAAGTAAATAAATGATAAATGTTAAAAAGAAATAAAGATTTAAAAAATAAAAATAAAAAAATAAAAGATGATTGAAAAAAAAAACAGAAGATTATTGAAAGAAGAAAAAAAAAGAAAGAAACAATTGGATGGAGCTAGCAGTGACAGCTAGCGCCGCCCAACTTCCTATTGGCCGGGACCGCCGAGTTGTCATTGTAATGAGAGTTCAGCATCCCCTGGTTACCTGGTACCCAGGGGATGCTGACCTGTCATTGCAACTGGCTGTAGCCAGCCGTGAGAACAGTTGTGAGGCTTTCGGCTGGCAATGGCCGGCTGTTCGGCCCGCTTCGGGTTTCACCTTGGCTCAGTCAAGCCGAAGTCATATGCCTTCGGCTTGACTGAGCCGCTCGGCCAACTTCGGGAGCTGTACAGGCTATAGTGAATAGCCCGTACAGCAGCCCTTTGGTTTGACTGAACCGAAGGGCCCGGCGGCCAAAGCTAGCCGAAGGATCAGCCGGAGCTACAGCTGATCCTTCAGCTAGCTTTGTGAATAACCCTGTTGGGTTATTCACCCTGTTGGCGACTGGTGTCAATCCTTGCTTTTTCAAAGGAGAAAGAAATTGAAGGTGTTAGTCCAAGTTTCAGCTGTTGGCTGCAGCAGGCCCTTGAGGGTTTGAGTATGGGGCAATGTCCCATCATCCATCATTCTGTCTGCCTCTCATAGTAAGGGATACGCAAAAATGAAAGTTTTTATTTGCCCCAAATTTCTGTGAATTCAGGAGATAAGAGAAATTTCACTGTGTTGACAAAATATAATTTGAATGAATGGTAAAGGGGACATTTTGGTTGATTTTGGTGGGGTTTAAATTGGGATGAGAGAATTAAGTAAAGCTCAGTTCACAGGAGGTTCGGCGAACTCAGCAGGAGGTCCATGAACCCCAAACCTATTACTGAACCCTACTAAAGTCTAAGGCCCCATTCACACTCAGCGATTTATCACGCGATTTTTGCAGCGATATCGCTCATATTTCCATGCGATATCGCTCTATGTAGCTTCTCCAATCCATTTCAATGGAGCTGTTCACATCTCACCGCTCAATATCGCGTGTAGCTCGTCGCTGTAGCTTGTCGCTCCTACATGACCCTTTTTTCTGCGGATTTCGAGCGATTTTGCTCCTGATTGCATACAGCCCAATAGGAAAAAGTTGCACGATGTCGCGCGACGTAGTGCGACAAGTCGCGCAATATCATGCATATAAAATCACGCGGAAAATCGTGCGGTTTTCATGTCGCCCAGTGTGAATGGGGCCTAAGGGAACTGAATGTTGCCATTATTTTATGGGCTTTTTCAAGGCTAATTTGTAAGCTTTCGTTCAGAAAAAGTGCATGGATAGTTTTCAGTGGAGAGATGGTGTTTTAATGGGACCTGCAGGGGTACGGGTACTCCTAGAATGAGATCCTAATAGGTTGGACTTGATGGACTAATGTCTTTATTCAACCTCAAATACTATGTAACTATGTAACTATGTAAGAGCAACATTGAAAATACACAAATCCTTCAAAAAACAAGCTTAGAGAATGCCCTAAAGCTGCACTTGAAGTTAGGGAACTGTACAATGTACTCCTATAAAAGGGCCATTTCTTTTTACAAACAGTGGCCATGGATCTGTCATTTAGTGGGAGCAGCACTACCGACACTAAATCACACATCTGCGGCCAGCTCCTGCTTGTAAACAACCAGCCAGGGATCTGTCATTTAGAGGAGCAGCACTACCACCACAAAATGGGTTCCTGGGTGACATAATTGACCAAATATGTTTTTGACTTTAAATAAAGGACTTTTTCTAATTTGTATACATTTTGGGGGGAATATTTAAGGGGGATTCCAGATTCTGATAAGCCCCCCTGCCATAAACCCCACATTTCTTTTTTGGGGACAGGATCTGGGGGTTGGGGATGTCTACCAACAAAGTACCTTGCAAAGGGGAGGGAGGTTTTGACCCCCCCCCTTGCAAGGTACCCTCCCAATATTGAGGACAATGTTGGGGGGCACGCCCTCACTGCCTTCCCTTTTCTTGGCACTCGGGATACATGCCTGCATAAAATTCCGCTATAAATCTAAAGGGGATCCTTTATTTTTTTTTAAATAAACAATGTTCCGCAATTTAAATCCAATGTCATTACGTTGTGCAGTGATGTATATTTTGTCAATCACAATGCCCACCACCCACAGATGTTTGTCTTCTAATCAAAAATGCTGCCCTGCCACTCCCACCACTGCAAATTACAGATTCAGGGACAGTCCAGGGGGTGACAGAGGTAGGCTGGGGATCTGCACTGCTAAATGGGAGATCCCCAGCTACATTTTTGTTTATAAATACAAGCAGTCTACTTGACAGTTCACTGAACAGGCTGGGTTCCTTATTTTTGCAATGGACCTTAAGGACCTGTTCACACCAAGTGCATTGGCTCGCATTGGGTATAGTATACCCAGTGCCAGTATAGTCCTAACACAATGGGATACATGTAAGCAATATGTAATGTAAGTACAGAAAAATTAGTGTTAGTCATACAATGCAGTCTCTTAAACTTTCCGTAAATTTACCAAGCAGAATCTTTCCAAAATTTTCTGGCCTACACTGTAAAATACCCAAGCAGACTTTCTTAAATTGTGTGAGCTACCCTGTAAAAAATGTACAACTGCAATCTAAATTATTGTGACCGGTAACATTGATTCATGAAGTCTAATGATAAAAGAAATGATTAAGAACAATGATTCATTAAAACCCCTGTTTTATTTTCTTCAAAGACAGTAATCTTTTGTAGCTCCGTACGACGTACGTCCTTGGCAGCGAAAGGGTTAAAAGAAAAGAAGTATTAGAAGTCATTTAGCAAGGCTTATATCTATTTTACCACAATAGGTATAGGTTGTAGGAACTGCAGAAATCTATACATGAAGTTGTTTCTTATAGAAAATTAGTAAATCAATTTACTTAAAGTAGTATTAAACTCTTTTTATCAATAATAAATCCAGATCAAACAAATATACATTGCCCGGCAAAGCATTGCTTTGCACTTACAATCATTATGTTTCTGAACAGCTGACTCCAAGTCCCTCAGCTCAGCTTCCCTGAAGATCCTGTCCAGTACAAAAGAACAAGGGACAGAGCAGACTCCAGCAACTTTTCATCTACTAGCTTGGATAAGGGAGGATGGAGGAGAAGGGTCCAGGGGGGAGGGGAGTAGCTTGATTTGCTGTGTCTGTGTGTTTGTGGAGACACACACAGCTTACTGGCACACTCAAGGGTGACTGTTTAGCACACTGCTTGACAAACGAGTCACTCTACAACAGGAAGTCAGGAACAGTGCTCAGGGGAGCAGCTGATTCTGCTGGAAACTAACAGGGTTATTCACTAAAGGGTGAAGAGTTTGGAGAAGGCAGGAGCATGGAACAATCTAGGCCAAAATAGCTGATTTGGAAAAATTCTCCAATTCAGCTCACTTTCCAGTTCAGCTCTGTTGGCCTAGATTGTTCACTTCTCCTGCCTTCTCCAAACTCTTCACCCTTTTGTGAATAGCCCTGTAAATCTTTTAAACATCATGAAGCAACATCCATTGTAGGTGATTTCATCAGCATTTGAAAAAGCTTAAAATCCTTTTGAATATCACTTTAACTATAGTGATAATTACAAAAACCAATAGAAGCTACAAATAGAACTAAAAATAATCACATGAATGAGAATATTTTTTTTTTAATGGCAAATAAATACATCATAGTTTAGTAAACCGATCCTCAGAAGCTTTCCAACCTCCATTATAAAAATGGCAGCTAACCTCCAATGATAACAGAAAAGTGCTATCTTTACTTAATGTTTTCTCTTGTCTAATCCTAATGTCAACAAATAAAAGGTCAGCTCCACCCCCTGACCCCCCACCCTCTCCCCATAGGACCACTTCTATAGTCTATACATTCAAGCCTAATCTTTCTACACAGTGGTTTTTT